ATGCCAAACAGAAAGTTAATTGTACAAAATAATCCATACCTTGCTATTACAAAACRTCTATGGGGCATTGCAAAGTTAGACAGCACTTAATGGATGTTTATAGAAAAGTCATAGTTGAGATGATGCCTTTGCTCTATGACCCTTAGAAATCTAGTTTCTCTGCTTGAAATTTTTATTTGCTCTGCCATTTGACTCAAGGAGCTCAGCAAGGGCTGCAGCCTGCACAGTTACTCTATGTGTAGGTGCAGAGTGCTGGGAAGTTGCTTAATTCCAGGCACAAGAGTGCCTGGGGGTACAGTTTCTTTGTTAAGTCCTGAGGCAGAGATGTAGCATATATGTCATACACATGGTCCTACATTTTACACCATGCTGGAAGCTTGTGGCCCTTCCTCTTGCTCTAATTCACTTAGAGAAGCCACAAAGGAAAGTCCCTGTCTCTCTCAGATATCACCTTTTGCMATCATTCTCAATTCTTCTCTACTTTAAGTCCTGGGAGAAGAATTCTCCCTGGCTCAGCTTGTCTCCTGTAGCTGCCCTCAGGAAGATGAGCTCTTTATTGTTTGATTCAGTCAGGCAGATGGATTTAAACAATCTTCAGAAATCTGTGCTAAGTCTAATCTACTCTGACTTCAATCTTGAACTCTACAAGATTTTTGCAAAARCCTCCTGCTTTATCAGCTACCTAAGCTGTATTTAGTATAATTGAAATGCTAAACTGATGAATCTTCTCATTGAGGGCAGAACAGAGCTGGATCCATAAAAAGGTCACTCAGCAGGAAGGACACACARAAACCAACAAACAAGGGAGCTAAGGACCATAGAACCCCTGATATGCACAACACAGGGGATATWAAAAAGTGGGTAGGAGGCAATGAGCAATAAACATTCTGGGCCCCTATGTCCTTTAATCTTCAGGGTCCCTTTCTGTCTGAATTAGCTGAATTCTGTGGGATAACTTGGKAGGCATTTAGGGAAGTGACCTACACTTGTTTAGTCATCTGYAGCACAACAATCGACAGCATCAAATGAACTGAGCATCAAGCTAGGATCACCCAGCTACAATGGCAGTAGAAATTAAATAGCATTAATTAGAGGGAGAATATGGAACTAGAATGTCTAGAATGCCTAGAATGTCTCTTCTCTTAGCTGTCAAAAGCCTCCGTGGTTTGGCTTATTAAGAGCCAAGTTGACAGGAAAGCTGAAGGGAATAAAGGAACATTCTCCATTGTGTGCCAAACTGAGGGAAGACTTCAGTTCAAGACTGACTTTTAAAAAACAGCAAAGGTTTATGAACTTTTATCCAAGCACCATTAATACATCTGAAGATCATTCTAAYTAGACCACAGACAACACTTTTGCACTTATTTCCGTATTTACCTGCAAGACCAAGTAAGTAATGTGTGTAAGGGAGAAAGAATCAGAGATTAAAAAGTTTTTCTCACTTTACAGAAAGCAAAGCAATCTTCCACATCAGTAGTSTTCCTATGTGCTCTGCTGATACCTGTAGGTATTCCATGTTAAAACTATCTCCACAACAATTTTCCCCCGCCCTCAAATTCCCCCCTCAAATTTTATTGACATTTGATATAAACCAGGYTGTATTCTGCATTAAAAAAATGAGCTTGATTCTTTGGGGTTCAATGAACTCTCATTTCCCACTGAGCCTATGGAAGAGATCAACCTCCTGCAAAACCACTGAAGGCAGGGTCCTTGTATTACCTGGAAGTTGCTTTCCTACACCTTCCTATCATACTCTGATACACTGGGAAAGGGCCAGGAGAAATATCAGAGTTCTGTACTCTGTGATTTAACCCCTACCATCTTCTATGCAGAACYATAGAATGTGAAATTTGATACTGCAAACAAAGTACAGAACAATTAGTTACATTTAAAAAGGTTTATTTGCCACCTTTTGGCAATCAAGCATATCTGCAGATATTATTTTTTAAGAACTTGTCTTCCCTTTTGTATGGGACTTGCCTTTTTTTCCATATTGAGCAATTAACGTAATTCCCAATTACTAAACAAAACCCTGTGGACATTTTGGACAGTAAATTTTTTCCCCAATACATGCTTAKGTAATGCCTAAAACAAACTAGAGTCCTGATTGTTGAACAGAACCATCTAGAAATTTTTGTTATTTAGAAAAAGAGTGGTTTTTTTGTTTGGTTTTTTTTTTTAAATTTAACTCATTCCCTTGTGAAAAATAAAAGGGAAGAAAAGTGTCAGTAGATTTCCATAAATGTGCAAAAGCACATTATTGAGGAAATCATCTACAAGTGAGCTAGAATCCCAGATGAAAAAATTACACTACATCCACTTCACAATACTTGAGGTCAGATGTTTCTATGAGTCTCATTTAAGCCTCTTGAATCTAAGCAATTACATAATTTCATACAGTAGCTGAACTGTGTAAGATGTCTTAGAGAGGAAGATGCCAAAATGGACTAAAAAAATCACAGACTTTCCAATAAAAACATTATTTTTGGTCAACATTATTTGCCAAACTAAACCTAAACATAATCATTTTGCCCAACCCACAAYTGCATTTTTCAGTTAATATATTAATTCTCCTTCCAATTTTTCTCAGTTTTTCTTCCATGCTGTACATCTCTACTTTCCTTCAACAATAGCATATCTTTCTTCTATATTTAGAAGCATAACCTCCCTTAAAATGATGTTCTATGAGAAACCTCACTTGGACATGCTGTGACACTCAATGGACCTGAAAACTGTGCCTAAGAAAGACAGGATATGACAGCTGCATGATCCCTGAAGATGCCTTAAAGGCCATCCAATAKATAATCCCTTGTTCTTACCACATAGACATAAAATTTCAGCTGGAGGAAACAGGGAGCTGGATACATGAGAAACTGGGGGCCACTTAAATCAAGAAGAATACAGTGGGAAAAAATATCCAAGGCGAAAAATTGAGCTGATCACTCTTTTTCTGGTCTTTTCTTTTCTAGAGAATGCAGAGGAATATGTACATACTGACTTTCTCCTACCTGGTCTTTTTTAGGCTTTACCTATAAGCAAGAGGACCCAAGATGGCATCAATGTCACTTCACCAAAACGTTCATTTTTCACTGAAAAGATGCAAATCCTAGAGAGCTTCCCCTTTGACTAAGGGCTGCCTGTAAAAGCTGTGCAAGAAACTTCACTGGTCAGTTTAAGTGCAGAGATTTAAATGGAAAATTACTTCAGCTTCAGGAGAATCTAGCACAGAAATCTCACAGTGCAGTGCATTTGAGAAATATTATTAAGTTAAATTAAATTCAAAATCTATATTTTACCATTTTAGGATGAAGAGTATTTCCTAAAATGGCAATAAAGGTTAAAAAGAAATGGTTTGTTGCTTTATTAAACCATTTGTGTTAACTTCCAGTTGCTGCTTGTTTTAAGATAGTAAGAAATAATCAGCAGCATCATAAAAATATAGATTCTGTTTTCTGTATTTTCTATGAAAAAAGGGAAAAGAAAAATGTGAAAGAACTTAGAGCTAAGGTATTTGGTTTGAGGATCAGTAGAATATTTCATTTTGTCTGTAGTAATAACTATAGACTTGATTATTATATAAATATTGTTTCATTTTAGTTCTCTGGCCAAATAGTTTCAATAATAAACATTATGATCAAGCCTAGGTGTGTGTTACATTGTTAAAATGCCTCCCTTTTAAGCACTTGGTGGAATCACTGTTACTGTTCTGCTATGGTTTAGCTAGTCTGCTGATAAAAATGAAGATTTATTTTTATGTGGCTTGAGCTAGATGACTGAGTTTTGATGTGTGTTCACCCTTAACTATTAACATTGTGTGCAATGGCAGTTTAAATGTTTTATTTTCAAATAAACAGGCAAATGAACTGTTATTTCTATAAATACTAAAAGGATCAGGCCCAAGCACTGGGACTTTTCAGCCTGGAGCAAGGGGAAACCATGCATTTTCTGTTTATTTTTGCGGGTTTTACTATTTTAAGTAACATCAAGCCTTGGACTGAAGATATTCTGACATTTCTGGTTACTTTGAAGGAAAAAAAGTCACAAGAATTTCTTAACAAGTTAGCTCAACTTATGCTAAGTCACTGGTGATGAAAAAATATTCTTTGTGACAAGAATACATGCAATGTCCTCCTGGATGTCCATCACCAAGGCTTTTGCAAAGAGGCTCAAAAGGAATACACAGGAAAATGGGAAAATGGTTGATGGATGGCCTGGTCCTACCAACATGTACCCAAATCTACTCAAATGCCAATAAAGTATGATTGTGTAGGGACATTTGAGAGCTGCCCTTGTCCCCTGAACTGAGAACACATGCTGACAGAGATATCAGATGCTCTTTTCTGCTTTCTCTTCCACTGACCTCAGTTTTAACACATACGTGAAAGACAGAATACCAAGGTTCTCGGGCCGTCTTTGGAGCAGTAAAATCTAAGTATCAGCTGTKTGGTTTAGACTCATGCATATGTCAATATTATTTTGGTTTTCCTTTGTAGCTGGCTATTTATCTTTGGAAAGTGTAGAAATGAACAAGTGTCTGGTGTCTTTTTCGGAGCAATAYCTGGCTTCACTTAGTAATAACCGGTTGATTATCTGTAGGTAACAAAGTACTGATTGAGAATTGTAACTTGCTTTCTGAATAGATAAATTCAGACACCATTAGATGACTGAGGTTTTACAAAGATATCAGAATATCCTTTGAAATGAAAGGCTTTTTGCAGCCCAGAGTTGTTCCATTAAATCTCCACTCAGTTTGAAACAGTTTGACCTCTGCATCTTACTTCTTTGCAGTAATAAAACCCTCTAATAAATAAAAAGAGAAATGATTGAACTAGATAAATACAGAAAAAAATTAGGGAGGGAAAAAGCTAATGAACTTAATTGCGATGACTAYAGCGGTATTGCCTTGACTTAAAAAGTATTGATTAAATAACTGAATATTTACATCTTGTACTGGACCCACTGAAGGCAAATGATGCATTGCAAAGCAAACAGAGGCTGACCTTTGCACGTTTTCCCATCAGGCTGCAGGGTAAATCCAACTGGGCAACTGCACCGTACCCCTGTCGCGGTATCCTTGCAAGTCCGATCACAGCCTCCGTTATTGACAGCACATGTTTCTGCAGAATGAAAGAGAGAGAGAGAGAGAGAGAGAGAGAGAGGGAGAAAGGGAGTGTAATGAAATGCTCTGGGGGAGGGGAAGGGCACTGGCTCTTAGAGGCAATATTACAACATATTAAAAGCAATATAAGTTTTCAGCAAGCCAACTGGAGCAAGCTCAAGGTCATCAGGATCAATGTACTGGTTTTAACAGCTAAATCATTTCCACAAGTCATGATTTCTTTTTTCTCTCAAACTGGAGATTTTGTTTAATATATTTAGTTAGTGTTTTTTAACTGTCTTAGACAATAGGGTGGTTATTACATATTAAACAAGTTTTAAAAGAAAAAGAAGTGATTGCCTTTAAAAGCAGAACCACACACTCTGTCAATGTCTAACTGAGGCATTTCAATGTTCACTTTTAAATGATGCTGTAGGCATAATAAACTTTAAAAACAGTAGAAAGCAAAGCAGCGTGCTAGACTTGGAACTGAGAATTTAAAATCCTTAGTTAAGAAAGAGTTAATGGAAAATGAACTACATATATCACTTTGACAAGAATCTACATGCCCAATCTGTTCTTACTGAACTACAAGCAAAAGGCATCTGGGTTTTGTCCACTTAAAGCTTTTTGCAAATTGAAAGGAGTTTGGAGTGGGTGGGAGGGCATAATTGAGGTCACTGAACCCATTCCAAGCTGTGTCATTGAAATTTCCCAGTGCTTGTAGTATGTAGAAGGGTGGCTGGGCAAACAGAGGCAAGAGAAAGTTGCAATACTTCTGATCTTTTACTACAGTGGGCAGCGACTATTAGGTACCACTACATTTAAAAAAAAATCTTCAACTTCATTACAGAAAAAGCAAGAACCCCTCCCTCACTGCCATTGTTTTGTGTTACTCATGTATGCACATGCACACACCGTGCACATGCATATGCACACATACTCACAAGCACATCCATAAAAGAGATAAAAGGCACGGGAAATTATTAACTTTGCTTTGATCCACAGAATAGAGTGGATGTAAGGATGCCAATTTAGCACGTCAGTTTGAACTGTACATTTTTCTGAAAAGTATTTACTTCAGAGAGTAAGTCCTTTTAATACTATTTTTTTCAGTTGCTCTGGATTTGATTAAATTAAAATACCCCACTGCCCCCCAAGACTGCCATTATTCTACTCAGCTCACCTCTTTCCCTAAAGAGGCTTTGTCATTAGTTACTCAGATTTACAGACTCCTATTGCTGAATATTCACAGCCTGTGTCACAATTGTACCCTGTGGACAGGGTCTGACAATCAGCTATAGGATATGCTAATTGGGAATTGCCTTAGAACAGTACATTGATCAAAAATTATTTACACAGAACAGAACAGGCTTTATCTTTCAATTGACCAGTACCAAAAGATTTTTATTTTAAACTACCCTGTGCTTTGCCCTCAAGGTGAACTTAGACTGGCCCTTTGGAGGGACTGCTTCAAAAAAGTGTAACTGTTTTTTTTTTTTTTTTCTCTTTTACACTGGCACAGACCTCTCCATCAGTTGTGAAATAAGCTCCTGGCACTTAAGAACAAACTGAAAGCAAGGGGTTGGGGCACACATGCATGAATAGCATGGGACAGATCTTTTGAATCTATATACATTCACACATGGTCCTCCAGACAGACTTTAAAATTTTTATGTCTGTCTTCTATGTAACAATATAATGCAGAAAGAGCCACCGGTATACAAATGGATTTGCATATAACTGCCAGGAAGCACAGCTAACAAACAGATTGACATGTTTTCTGRAACAGCTTCCTAAAAATGGAGTCTGCAGCTCCTGTTCTGCAGTTCTTGCTCACCTTGCAGGACCTGAACCTAACAGTTTAAGCACTATAATTCTGATTTTTATTTATTTTTCTAGGAAAGATTATTTTAGTGACTTACAGGCTGAAACTTCTGCATGAAAAATTCTTCTGCAAATGACAATGCTGGCATTTCCATGTGTGTGTCTTGTAGACCAACATATCAAATAATTTCATGTTTCAGAGAAGGAAATATGTTTCCAGTCATTTAAAATTTTTAACTTGGGTACAGTTTAAGGGCAGGAGGATTTGCCAGGAGTAAAGAGTTAAGGTTAAAACTCAGGAAAAATCGCTGAAGGTTACGTTTGTCATGGCACTGCAAAGAGCAATAAATCTCACGTTAGCAGATTAACTCTGGCATATGAAGACTCCTTTATTGCAGTGCGTCAACACAAGATGAACATAAGCAGTAATATTTCTGCTTTCTGGATGACATCCAGTGAAAATGAATAGACACAACAATTTTTTTTTTCCCATGGCATGGATGACTGGATCTATAGGGTAAGGGTCATTCAATGAACAAGAGTTATTTCTACATATAAATAGAAGGAATCAAGCCAGCTTTTCTTATTTTCACACAGATTTAGTAAAACAAACCAAAAAGGATAAATACCCTTCAACCTTCCTAGCAACTCTGACTTTCATACATGATGAGCTCTTAACAGAATGAAGATCYGAGTGAGCAAGAGGACATGTGACAGTACCTCTAACACTTTGGATAATTGGAGAGATGTACTGATGAAATTCCTTAAACTCAAGGTCGTGAGAAAACATCGGTAAAAGAAAGCAAACATGAATAGCAAAATGTGGGAAAGGGGCTACATCAAAGAGAGGAGCTGAGGCCTGCACACAACACAAATCGAATGCATGACCACCTGTGTCTCTGAGAGGGGTGACGCTGATTCACTCTTCACCTCACCACTATCAAACTTCAGTATGTATGCAGTACAACTTTAAGGCCTCAAGCCAAGAGCAGAAGGAAATTACTTATTTCCATTCTATCACACTGGAGAAGCAATGGAAGGGAAAGAATAGATATTAAAAATTGGATTGGGTCTTCATGGTTATATTGATCCTACAGACCATTTTTGCTGGGTTTTTTCTCTGTGAAAAACAAACTCAGCATTTTGGCCTTTTTTGTTGTTTCAAACTTTTTTTTTTTTTTTTGTTCTGACAAGGTAGAAGAAAAAAGAACTGAAAAACACAAGTAAAGCAGTGTCATGTTACTGACATTTAAATTCCTTCTGAATTATGAGAAAGCTTATAATTTGAAGCAATTAGACTTTACTGTTAATTTAGTGATGCTTGTAGCCCCATCYACACTGAAATCCTTGTTGAATTCCTACCAGAAAATTCAGGCAGAAACAGAGATCTAAAGAAAAGRACATCTATTTATACAAGGCACTCTGGGAGAGATTACATTTTATTTTTCCAATGTAAGCTCCTAATGCTGGAACAATCTCTTGTGAGTCTGCTCAATGGATCCATAGACAAGAAAAAACTAGAATCATTAACAATATGCTATGGTCTACTCCTTTAGGACTGCYGCTTTAGTAGTAGTCCACTGCACTATGGGATGTGCACTGCTTCTGGATATTAAAATATCCAATTAAAAAGCACAAGCTTGAGCCATTTGTCCTCCAGCACTTAGTTAACAGCTGAAGTTACTTCAGTGTCTACAGGGGTGTAGCAGTAGAACAGTTCTTCCGATTCTACTTCTGAAACTTTTGAACTACAGCAGAATCTCTACCAAGTGGCAACAGGTCACTTCCTTAAAAATTAAGAGTCACACCAGACAGGACTTGTTTGTCTTTGAGTAGTATTAAATGCCTGAAACTCCTAACACACATCTCATGGTTTGAGAATATTTTTGAAAGCCTGATTTTCAGCTTGTTTTATGAAACAAGTAAACATAACCATTTAAAATACAAGTTTCTAATAAAATGTGTTTGTTTTGGGTTTGGTTTTTTTTTTTTTTTTTTTTTTTTTTTTTAAGTAGCCAGTTATTTCATAAAGCAAATATTTGTGACTTCGATCTATCTCATGAACAAAAGAACATGATATGATTTTTAGGATATTGGTCAAAACCAGGGAAATCTTGGAACCTTTATTATTCATTGTTGGCAGGCTGGTTCAATCTGAGCTAAGATCAAAACCAGTTTTATAGGAATAGATTTCTTAACTAGGTCATTCTCTATAATCTTCAATAATCATGAGRACAGGTATGATGACTGGACTAGGTAAACATCAAAGGCAAGAGGAGGGAGATAGGTGCTTTCTTTAGAGATACAGGTTTCTTGATCCTTTCTGTTACCCATCATGGCAGTCTAAAGTCAACAGGATCCAGAAAACCTGAATTGTTTCCAGGCTCCTGATCATAACACAATAACTGGAAAGAGTGGATAACAGCTGTAAATATAAGACCTGCTCTCAGTTATGTGTAGAATATGCAAAAAGTTTTAAAAGAAGACAAAAGTGGCCATCTGCAGTGAAAATGAGAGAACGAAATAACCTTGAGTGAAAATGGGAGAGGGAAGCCACTGAAGTCATTACCTACATTCATGGCAGGCATGCAGCATCTGTCTCTTAAAAAAAAAGCATGAGAGGGACACTGAACGGTACCTTCTTGCTCAGAAGAAGTTGTTCTTGGACTAAATGAAATGACTGTATTCTGTAGAGCTTAAGATCACCATTTGCTCTGAATCAGAGAGGAAKGTTGCACTGACCTCCTATCTTAAGGCCCTGTATAAAGGAAAAGGATTTTTTACAGCAACAGGTAGGCTGCAGATAAAAGACATAGCAGTCCCTGAAAACAAAGAGTRTTCTCTAAGTTTGCCAGATTGCTATAAACTGTGTAGCTGACATAGTAAGCAGTAACTACAGCTGAAAGGAAAACATGMAAGTGGAAAAATGCTTCTTCTCACACTAAGTAGTTCCTATGATTGCCCAAATGATAACACTGACCAAAAGACAGGTTAAAGAAAACTAGCAATTCAAACTGTCTTTATTTGGAATTCAWTTGCAGTATACTAAAGCTCACTGGGGTCAGCAGAAATAGGATGATTGGGCTTTGCTCTAAGTCTGTGACATATTATTTTGAGCTTATTCTGAGTCAACTGTTATTCTAGCCCAGAGCAATTTTTGATGGAGTAGCCTGGAGCTCAGAATTTAGAGAA